GGGGAATGGCTTGCCTGGAAAAGCAATGAGCTCTCCATGCCTGGAAGTATTCAAGCAAAGACCGGGGCACTTCTTTCTGAGACGGAGTCTCACTCTGTTGCCCAGACTGGAGTGTGGTGGTGAGGTCTCATTGAAGCCTCCACCTCCTAGGTTCAAGCAATTGTCTTGCCTCAGCCTCCCGAGTAGCTGGGATTGCAGGCACCTGCCACCAGGCCTGGCTAATTTTTTGTATTATTAGTAGAGATGGGGTTTCACCATGTTGGCCAGGCTGGTCTCGAACTCCTGACCTTGTGACCACCCACCTCGGCCTCCCAAAGTGCTGGGATTACAGGCATGAGCCACCACGCCCAGCCAAAGACTGGGACACTTCTTTCAGAAGTTTCTACAGAAGGAGGTCCTGCCCTTGTGGGAGGCCAAACAGGATGCTCTCAAGTTTCCTTCTTGAAGGGTGTGGAGTTGCATGCCTGTAGTCCCAGCTACTTGGGAGGCTGAGGCAGGAGGATCACTTGAGCCCAGGAGGCAGAGGTTGTATTGAGATGGAGCCACTGCTCTCTAGCCTCGGTGACAGAGCAAGACTCTGTCTCAAAAAACAAAACAAACAAAACAAAAAAACAAACAAAAAAGTAAAAGTCATAACGGGTACCACCTCATTGCCTGACCTGTGACATTTAAATACATTTCTCACCCGGTGCTGTGGCTCACACCTGTAATCCCAAGCACTTTGGGGAGGCTGAGGTGGACACATGACTTGAGGCCAGGAGTTTGAGATCAGGCTGGCCAACATGGCAAAACTGTGTCTCTACCAAAAATACGAAAATTAGACAGACATGGTGGCATACGCCTGTAATCCCAACTACTTGGGAGGCTGAGGCAGGAGAATTGCTTAAACAGGGGAGGTGGAGGTTGCAGTGAGTCGAGATCATGCCACTGCACTTCAGCCTGGGTGACAGAGGGAGACTCTGTCTCAGAAGGAAAAAATTAAATAAATAAACAAACAAATAAGTGCATTTCTCCTTGATTACTCTGGGTAATTACAACCTTGATGTCACTAACTGGACACCTTTGAGAAGGGACTCGGGAATGATTCTCCTAGCAATATTCCACTCTGACCCCAGAGCAGGGCCACTGCTGTGCCCACCCTCCTGTGTTTGGTTTTTATTTATTTTTTATAGAGACAGAGTCTCCCCATGTTGCCCAGGCTGATCTTGAACTCTGTATATGATCTTGAACTCCCCATGTTGTCCAGGCTGATTAGAGCGAGGTGGGCACCTCAGCCCGAACTGTGGACAGCAGAGATGCCCTTCAGGGAATGTGGGATTGGACAGAGTGAGGTCAGTTCTGGGCTTGGCTCTCTGTGTAGCATTGTAACTCTGGGGCATGGGTTGGCCTCAACCTACCACACAGGCCAGAGACGGGGAGATAACCCTGGCCCAAAGACAGGGAGGACAAAAGAGACACTGAGAGAGAAGCAGAGTCCAGAGCTGCAGAGAGGATGTGGTTCCCAGCATCTTTCCAGGACCCCATTACAGACTTTGTAGAGGCCAGGCTGTGTCCCGGACCGTGAGATGTCCCTCCCCTCCTCCCATCCTTAGGATGATACATCTCTCCCCTCTGCTTTTATGTTATCTCCCAGTTGCCAGTTGCAGATAAGGCCAAATGAGATGGTCACAGGATGAGATGGAATACAATGGCCACTCATTCATTCCTCCCTGTTATTTCTTTTCTTCTCAACATTTCTCCCTGGGCTCTCCTGATATCCCTATAAACAATTTTTTGGACTTTACTGAAAGGATGACAATCACTATTTTTCTGAAATGTATTCTCCATTCTTTCCTAGCTCTCTAAATAATGTAACTAATTTCCATATTAGGAGCTGCAGAACCCTTAGCTTTTATGTATAAAGCCTGTCCAATGTGCAGAAACATGTCCAGATGAGGGCAAAACCCAGTCATTACTGAGGGTGCAGACCAGAAGAATTTGCAGTTTATAAATTGTTATTTTTATATTTCTTTTTTCTTTTCTTTTCTTTTTGTGTTTTTGAGATGGAGTGTTACTCTGTCACCCAAGCTGGAGTGCAGAGGCACAATCTCGGCTCATTGCAACTTCTTTCTCCCAGGTTCAAACAATTCTCCTGCCTCAGCCTCCAGGGTAGCTGGGATTACAGGCATGTGCCACCACACCTGGCTAATTTTGTATTTTTAGTAGAAACAGGGTTTTGCCATGTTGGCCACACTGGTCTGGAACTCCTGACCTCAGGTGATCCACCCACCTTGGCTTTCCAAAGTGCTGGAATTTTTGTATTTTGTAAAAATACAAAAGTACATGGGTGAGCCACCGCACCCAGGCTTTTTTATATTTCGTAATAGTATGTCATTTTATGCCTTAGTATCGGTAGGAATAACAAAATGACCACTTGTTGAACTCCCTCAACGTACCAGACACTTTGTATGTCTTATCTCTACCGTTTGTCACAATCCTGCAAGCCTGATTATTTTCCTATTTCACAGATGAGAAAACTGAGGCCCAGCCACAACTGGAATTAGCTCTCCTGCCTCCTCCTGACATTATCCCTCAGCACTAAGCCTCCCGATACTCCAGGGCCCAAATGCTGTCCCATTGGGCAGCTGGGGGTAGAGAGCAGCCCTGGAGGCTCACAGGTGGGCAGGCCAGGAAGCTTCCACCAGACAGGGCCTGGTTGTTTGTCACCAAGCCCAAAGGAGGAATAAGTGTCAAGATCCAGAAAACCAGAAAGGTCTCAGAGCTGTGTTTACAGGAAACAAGAAGGAATGCGGTGAAGAGTTATTTGCTTTTCCAGGTAGCTACAGGAATGGGCTGGCCAGTCTGAAGGAAAAGGTCCGGAAGAGCACACCAGTGCCCAGCAATGTAACTGGGAACGTACACTGCCCCCAGGGAACCTGGGGGAATGGCTCAAGCTTGTCATTTGACTTCATTATATATCCGTAAATTCTCACACAATAATAACACTCTCCCACCACCAAATCCCCATGTAAAATGACTCCCCAGGAGGAGTGCCCTGTGTATCCTGTGGCTTCCTGTGCCCCAGCCCAGGGTTATATTCCCCACCCTCCCTCAGCCCCACAATTACAGCTAGACCTGCACCAGGGTTTTCTTGGGGTCCTGGCCCTGGACATTCACATTATCCTTGAATTCATTTCATACCAATATGTATCGGGTGAATTTCAATTTCATCAAAATAGTTTAAGACTGTCTCATCTTCGAGATTGATGTCCCGGTAGTTGCTCAGAGCCCGGAGGAATCGGTCTTGGCTGTAGTGGGTCCCCGCTACGATGCTCTCGGGAAGGTTTATCACACGCTCCTTCAGAAACTCATCTGAAGCATCCAGTGCACAAACGAATTCTGGGGAGAAGGAGAGACTCCAGAGTTGGCGCAGTACCGCGCAGCTGATTAGCAGGGTGCTGGAGAACACGTGGGCCCCTGCTAACCCAAGTGTCTGGTTACCAGTCAGGACCTCCTGTTGCCACAGATAGTCTGTCTGGTTGGCTTTGCTGCCTCTTACGGAGGATAAATAGATGAAAATCACCCCAATTCCAGAGACCACCCTATGAGACCCAATTGGTATTTTGTGCAATCTATTATTTTCCCCTTCCTTCCTCCTTTCCTTCCTTTCTTCCCCCCTCCCTCCCTCCTTCCTTCCTTCCTTCTTCCCCTCCTAACTAATAAAAGCAGCAGAAATCATAAGTAGCAAATCTCAGATAATCCTGTGATATCAGCTTCCTAATTTTCACATTGTCTCTTTTCTCTCTCTCTTTTTTTAAATATACATACATATACATATATGCATGTATATATATTTTAGACAGAGACAAGGTCTCACTATGTGCAGGGTGGTCCCAAGTTCCTGCCTTAAGCAATCCTCCCACTTTGGCTTCCCAAAGTGCTGGCAGGGATAAGCCATGGCTCCTGGCCTCACATTGCTGCCTGTCCAGCACAATTATCACAGGCTTCCAAAGAGAGCTGTGGCTACAAGCAAATGCTTTGATGGCCAGTTTGCCAAATTAATAAAAAATGGGAACTCTGCTTGGAATTTTCATGGATCCAGTTCTTTCCTCAATGCCATTGGCTATGATGATACGGTCAGCACTTATCAAATTCAACACACAGATCATGTTAATAATGATGACCATTGGCCAGGCGCGGTGGCTCAAGCCTGTAATCCCAGCACTTTGGGAGGCCGAGGCGGGTGGATCACGAGGTCAAGAGATCGAGACCATACTGGTCAACACGGTGAAACCCCGTCTCTACTAAAAATACAAAAAAATTAGCTGGGCATGGTGGCGCGTGCCTGTAATCCCAGCTACTCAGGAGGCTGAGGCAGGAGAATTGCCTGAACCCAGGAGGCGGAGGTTGCGGTGAGCCGAGATAGCACCATTGCACTCCAGCCTGGGTAACAAGAGCGAAACTCCGTCTCAAAAAAAAAAAATAAATAAATAATAATAATAATAATGATGGCCATTTTACCCACCTGTGATTTTCTTTTAAACTGTGAAAGCAGCTGTTCCTCCAGCTTCTAGTACAAATTCAATGGATGTTTGTTGAGTGAATGAGAGATTCAAATGCGGACCAGTGAAATGAACTTTCCAAGGTGAGCTGTGATTCTTAGATACTCTCAGTCACAGGCCCAGTGCACACTGGTGCCCAGATCAGTGGCTGGGTGCATCACAAATAGCTTGCTATCTATTAGAGCCCAACAGAACTTGGGAATCATTTGATTTTTTTTTTTTTTTAAGACAGAGTCTTGCTGTGTCACCCAGTGCAGTGGCACGATCTTGGCTCACTGCAACCTCTGCTGCCCAGGTTCAAGTGATTCTCTTGCCTCAGCCTCCTGAGTAGCTGGGATTACAGGAGTCTGCCACCACTCCCAGCTAATTTTTTTTTGTATTTTTAGTAGAGCCGGGGTTTCACCATGTTGGCCAGGATGGTCTCCATCTTCTGACCTCGTGATCTGCCTGCCTTGGCCTCCCAAAGTGCTGGGATTACAGGTGTGAGCCACCATGCCCGGCCTTGATTTTAATTCTAAAATCATATTGGCTTGTAACATCACAATGCCATTTTCATTTACTTGCATTCTAATAAGCTTCCTTGAGTGGGCGAAAAAGGTAAGTGTACTGGGGGAAGCCCACAGGAGGTGTGTCCCCCAGGCAGGTGGACATGTATGAACATCATCTGCTGCACATGTTAACTGTGAAAACAAAGGCTGAGACTGAGGCTGAGCCTTATTTATAGAATAAGATTCTGTAAATTCGTAATAGTTTGATACTAGCTCCATCCTGCATGGAAGAGGCATTCTCTCAAGTAAGTTATTCCTATCTTTTGCGCATCTTTGACCATGATATTCATGAGTAGCTGCTTTTTGAAAAGGAAGGGAGACATGGCCGGGTGTGGTGGCTCACGCCTGTAATCCCAGCACTTTGGGAGGCCAAGGCAGGCAGATCACGAGGTCAGGAGATCAAGACCATCTGGCCAATATGATGAAACCCTGTCTGTACTAAAAATACAAAAATTAGCTGGGTGTGGCGGCACGTGCCTGTAGTCTCAGCTACCCAGGAGGCTGAGGCAGGAGAATCACTTGAACCAGTAAGTCAGAGGTTGCAGTGAGCCAACATCGTGCCACTGCACTCCAGCCTGGAGACAGAGCGAGAATCCATCTTGGGAAAAAAAAATAAGAAAAGTGAGGAAGACATCTGAACCCTGAAATGCTGGTACAGTACTGAAATAAAAATTATGTCAATAAATTCGCTGAAAATTGAATCTGTTTAAGCTCTATGATGTCAGACATCTATAAGAAAACGTATTTTTTCATTTAAATTTTTTCCCTGATGTGATACTCATTTGTTAGAAAATATATGAATTATGTTAATAATCTATGACTTTCAAAATATATTCTATCTTTTCTCCCAGGCTGATTGGGAGGTAGAAGATTCCAGTTAATTGAATATTGCAAATAATGAGTAAGATCCTTAGCTTTTCAATTTTCAAAGAATTTTAATATGATTAAAATATACTACCCTCTAGATAATTTTTAAAAAATGTTCAGTCATTCTCTCTATGACTCACAGAGAACTTCAAGATCCTGTAGCATCTCACAACAGTTATTCAGAATGTCTCTTGTCCTAGCATTGGCTAACTGTGAATAGCGAGTAATAGATTTCTGCTTGGTAAGACTGGAGTTAATAAGGAGGTCCCATGAAAACAAATTTCCAAATAGCCATCAGGTATGCACAACTTTAAACTTATCTCCTTCAACCAGGAGATCTGAAAAGAACCAAACTGGACATGGCCTAACAGTAGTGGTAAAATACAATGGCTGTTCAATGGGAGAGAATTCCAGCTAGAACTGGATTACCATAGATTGGAAAGTATTTCTTTTATTTTCTGTATCCTATGCTTTGACTTTTTTTTTTTTTTTTTTTTTTTAAGAGACAGGGTCTCACTCTGTTGCCCAGGCTGAAGTGCAGTGGCGTGATCAAGGCTCACAGCAGCCTTGACCTCCTGGGCTCAAGAGATCCTCCCACCTCAGCTTCCTGAGTAGCTGGGACCACAGGCACATGCCACCACACCTGGCTAATTAAAAATGTTTTTGTGTCTGTGGAGATGAGGGTCTTGCTATATTGTCCATGCTGGCCTTCAACTCCTGAACACAAGCAATCCTCCTGCCTTAGCCTCCCCAAGTGCTGGGATTGCAGGCGTGAGCCACCACACCTGGCCTGTTTTGACATCTTGAGGGGGGCCTTACAGATCTGGGGAGAGACTGCTGCCCTTCCCAGGCCTAGCTAATAACTAAAGATAGTGACAACTTGGCTGGGCGTGGTGGCTCATGCCTGTCATCCCAGCACTTTGGGAGGCTGAGGTGGGTGGATCATGAGATCAGGAGTAGGAGACCATCCTGGTCAACATAGTGAAACCCCGTCTCTACTAAAAATACAAAAATTAGCCGGGTGTGATGACACATGCCTGTAGTGCCAGCTACTCGGGAGGCTGAGGCAGGAGAATCACTTGAACCCAGGAGGTGGAGGTTGCAGTGAGCCAAGACTGTACCGTTACATTCCAGCCTGGGTGACAGAGCGAGACTCTGTCTCAAAAAAAAAAAAGAAAAAAAAAGATAGTAACAACTTACTTGTGAATCCCCCTCCTATGCAAGCCACTCACTCTGTTTATCTAATCTCACACAGCAAGCCAGTATTTCCCTGGCCCGAAATCATCCCAGGACTAGGCCCCAGGCAACTAGAGACCACCCCTAAACTCAAACTAGCCAATCCCAAACTGTTCACTCTGGCCTGCCTTGGCTTTCCCAAAGAAACACCAACAAACACTGTAGCCTAGATCTTCTCCCTTGTTCTTGCTTCTGCTGCCTGACCACACCTGGCATTCCCCATGTGCCCCTTCTCTAGGGAATCCTAAGTGGTAGATTCTTCTTTCAATGGCTTTGACCTCTCCATGTCATCATTCAGTTCCCTCTCCCAATTAAAATCCCATAGGTACAAATGAAACAATGCTCTAATTTCTTTCAGAGAAATAGAAAATAAAGACAATTTCTGGAAAGGGGGTAATTTGCTAACAACAGATTAACATTCCAAATAGACTACGTCTTAGATATGTTTGCACCGTGTCCAACCAAGAGAGGACAGCCCAGTGGCCTACGTTTAAGAATCCTTGGTCACTTGACCTCTGTGCTTCCATTTCCTTATCTTACAGGGGGGCTTCATTAATTCTGTTTTGGAGGCAATGGAGTGAGAAGACCTGAATTTGAATTTAATCCCCCCTACCATTTACTAGTGAGTGGACTTGCGTGACCTCTGGGCTTTATCTTCCGGGTTGGGTAAACGTGGGTGTAATTCCTCCCTTGCAGGCTTGTGGAAAGGTTCAATGAGTGCCTGGCGCATGATAAATTGCCCATGACGAATTGCCAGTTGAGCTGAAATCTATCCAGCTGCCTCAGTGAGAGTGTTATGATTTATCACAGAGTTTGCAATGAATTAATACTGCCTAGAAGTGATAAATATACATATACTAGACACACCTACCTCGAATCAATAATCAATAATAAAGTTGATTATGTAGACAAATAAACTTTACTTTTTTTTAAATTAATTTTTTTGAGACAGGTTCTTGCTCTGTTGCCCAGGCTGGGGTGCAGTGGCGCAATCAGAGCCCCCTGCAGCCTCAACTCTCCATGCTGAAGCAATTCCCCCACCTCAGCCTTCCACGTAGCTGGGACTACAGGTGCACGGCACCACCCCTGGCTAATTTTTTTTTAATTTTTTTTTTTTTTTAGTAGATATGAGGTCTCACTATGTTGCTCAGGCTGGTTTCTAACTCCTGAGCTCAAGAGATCCTCCCACCTTGATCTTCCAAAGTGCTGGGATTACAGGCACTGTGTCCGGCCAACCAACTTTACTTTTTAACTTTTTCTGAGGCATTTGCCTAAATTAATGGGAAATCTGAGACAAGCCATCCCTGTGGCATTTCATGCTTCTGCCATTGGCTTCAGAGCCTATAGGCAAACGATAAATATCCATCCCCAAGGATGACTGCTATCTGGTGGTCTCAGTGCTTCCAGAAGCTTCTCTGCAAACTGTGCTGGACCAAGAGGAGGAGATAACAGCTGCAAGCTGCCTTCCTTGGGGAATTGATATCAGTGAGCAGGCCCTTTTTAGTTACACCCTTGTCCTAAGTTGCTGAAAATAGTTTTTCTTATAGTGATCATATGACCCAAAATAATTTCCTATGAATATATACCTCAAGCAAAGTGACTAAAAAAAAAAAAAAAAAAACAACTGTTTAATGTTTATAGGAAGTTCACAAGAAATGCCTGCTCAGTACTAAGTACATCCTGTTGTATAGGATAAATTGCTTATGCTTCGCTTTCGAGAGTGCTTTGTGAAATCTCTGTGTAAATATGTGAAAGAGTGAAACTGCTGCAGCATTAACAGTGAACTGAAAAGCTTTGGAGCTGTGCAATCTCAAGTCAGAAGCTGGGTGTCTTCTGGAAGAGATGATGGCATGGTCAGCAGCAAAACCAGGGCAGGGAAGGAGCTGACGTGACTCAGGAAGTCAAGCCATCAACAGATTTGCTACCTTTTGCTTCGTTACTGGAGAGAGCAGTGGAAGATAATGTTCCCACAGGGATTTCTATTCATTTCAGCACGTTAAAATTCCTCATGTTTATCCCTTGGTGAATTCTGTAGTCTGCAAGTTCATGCAAGTTAATTTTTTTCCTAAAAAGAAAATCCTACTTTATTAAACTCAAAAATATTGTTTCTGCACAAAAGAGATATCCAGCTACTCTAGGCACACTGCCTGTGGAGCTCTGTGAAAGTTAAAAAAAAAAAAAAAAAAGGCTGAGTGAGACGGCTCACGCTTGTAATCCCAGCACTTTGGGAGGCCAAGGTGGGTGCATCACCTGAGGCCAGGAGTTTGAGAGCAGCCTGGGCAACATGGTGAAACCCCGTCTCTACTAAAAATACGAAAATTAGCTGGGCGTAGTGGCGGACACCTGTAGTCCCAGCTACTGAGGAGTGGGGGTGGGAAGAATGGAAAAAAAGAAGAGAGAGATATCAGACAGCATTCTTTTTTTTTTTTTTTTTTTTTGAGACAAAGTCTCTCCATTACCCAGGCTGGAGTGACATGATCTTGGCTTACTGCAACCTCCATCTCCCGGGTTCAAGTGATTCTCCTGCCTCAGCCTCCCAAGTAGCTAGGACTACAGGCACATGCTACGGCATCCAGCTAATTTTTGTATTTTTATTAGAGATGGGGTTTTGCCATGTTAGCCAGGTTGGTCTCAAACTCCTGACCTTAGGTGATCCACCTGCCTCGGCCTCCTAATGTTCTGGGATTACAGGTGTGAGCCACCTTGCCCAGCCCAAAGAGCATTTTTTTAAATGTGATCTTGGGGAAATAAACTTACCAGGTATAATTACTTTATCAAAGGGAAACATTCTGCCTCTGACTTCATCTTCCTCCTCCTCATCTTCTTCTAAGAAAACAAAATATTCCTCATTGTGTTTATTAATATATTATTACAATCACAACAAAAAAATCCAAATATCTTAAGTAGCAAGAACTAATAGAAACTAGCCATAAATAGCACATGTATTTTTAGAACTAGCCTCACAAACCAAATGTACATTGATGGATGCATGGATAAAGCAAATGTGGTATGTGCATCTAACAGAATATGAATCAGCCTTTAAAAGGAAGGAAATGGCTGAGGGCCATGGCTCACACCTGTAATCCCAACAATTTGAGAGGCCAGGGCAGTGGGTAACCTGAAGCCAGGAGTTCAGAGATCAGCCTGGCAGCAGAGTGAACCTGCAAACAATTTTAAAATTAGCTGGGCGTGGTCATGCAAGCCTGTAGTCCCAGCTACTTGGGAGACTGAGGCAGGAGAACCACTTGAGCCCAGGAGGTCAAGGTCAAGGCTGCAGTAAGCTATGATCATATATATCACTGTCCTCCAGGCTGGGTGATGAACAAGATCCCGTCTCTCTCTCTGTTTTTTTTTTTGTTTTGTTTTGTTTTTTAAGGAAATTCTGTTATGTACAGCAACAAGGATGAACCTTGAGGACATTGGGCTAAGTGAAATCAGTGATAGACAAATACTACATCATTCCACTTACATGGGGAACTTGAGTAGTCAAATTCATAGAATCAAAGAGTAGGGAGTGCCAGGCTTGGAGGCTCACACCTGGAATCCCAGCACATTGGGAGGCTGAGGCAGGCAGATCACCTGAGGTCAGGAGTTTGAGACCAGCCTCACCAACATGGAAAAACCCCTAAAAATACAAAATTAGCTGGGTATGGTGGCGCATCCCTGTAATCCCAGCTACTGGGGAGGCGGAGGCAGGAGAATTGCTTGAACCTGTGAAGCGTAGGTTTCGGTGAGCCAAGATTGACCCACTGCACTCCAGCCTGAGCAACAAGACTGAAACTCCACCTCAAAAAAAAAAAAAAAGAAAAGAAAGAAAGAGTTCGATATGGTGGTTGCTGGGGGCTGGGGAGGGGAATAAACAAAAGTCACTATCAATAGGTGTACAGTTTTAATCCGGCAAGATGCATAAGCTCTAGAGATCTGCTGAGCAGCACAGTGCCTGTCGCCAGCAATAACATATCACACACTAAAAAAACTTGTTCAGAAGGTAGATTTCATGTGAAGTATTTGTGCCACAATTCAATAAAACATAATTTTAAAAAATTTGCAAAAGCCTATGCACCTTGAGTCAACATCCAGGGGAAAAAACAAAAAGAAAAAAATGCTACCTAATGAAAGGTGAGCCAAGGCTCAAAAATTGTCCCTCTAGTTTTTTGTTTACTTTAACTGAGTGACTGTTTGTCTGAACAATAAAGTTGCAAATTATCTGAATATAAATACTCAAAATAGGACACTCAGACTTACGATTGAACAGGTCTTTTGCTTGATCATAGGTCTTTGGGAATCCATCCAAGATGTAACCTTGATTCCTGCAAGGCATTGATTTTAGCTTTTCTTTCATGAATCGAATTATATATTGATCATCTAGTTCACCTGATAAAAAAGCATATATGTATATATTACTGTGGAGTCACGTGCTACATCAGAGTTGTTTTAAAGTTATCTCAAAAACTGTTGTGTAGTCAAATGTACTATTGGAAATCCCTATTTTGCTTTTTTTTTTTTTTTTTTTTTTTAGAGATGGGGTCACACTCTGTTGCCCAGGCTGGAATGCAGTGGTGTGGTCATAGCTCACTGAAGCCTCACCTCCCAGGCTCCGCAATCTTCCCATCTCAGCCCCTCAAGGAGCTGGGACTATAGGTGCTTGCCACCACACCCAGCTAATTTTTAAATGTTTTGTAGAGAAAGGGTCTTGTGATGTTGCCCAGGCTTGTCTTGAACTCCTGGCTTCAAGCAGTCTCCCACCTTGGCTTCCCGAAATGCTGGGATTACATTTTAGCCCTGAAAGTAAAAAATATGTGATTTTGTATTTTGAACATGTCGTGAATTCTAATGCACAGTAATGCAGGAGAGCTCAGTGAGCTGGTCTGCAAGAAAGAGCACGGGCGAGTGCTGATGTCTGCACTTTCAAAATGTTCTGTAATCCCAGTTGTTGGTGCAGTTGATTGAGGAACAGCAAGTGGAGTAATGCAGAGAGCTCCCCATACTCCACCCACAGGATTTCTGTTTTAATATTACACCTCTATAACTTTCATATACAATAATACATGCTTCTGTTGTGAGAACTGAGATAGCATTCATGTATGTTGCTAGCACACGATTTACTAAAAGTAGGTGGGGGATTTGAATAACAATCAAACTTGACCTGACCCTCAAAGGCACTTTTCTCTGTAAAGCTTCAGAAAAGAACACGGCTCCCTTCTCCCTCTTTTCCAGTTGGTGTTTCTGACCTCAGCCCCACTGGACAGTTCCCTCTCAAGCCCTGACACTGGGCTCCTGGCACTGCTTGGGGAGGATGAGGAGGGAGGAGTTTGTTCTAACACTGGCACAGTGGTTTAATAACAACATGATGAAACTCCACCACAATATCCATCTATCATTCCATCATAATTATTGAACAGCTAGGATGTTCAAGACACAGCCCCATCCTTACCTTGCTTAATGTATATATTACAGTAATGTAAGTTTGACAAGTTAGAGAAATTGATCTTCAAAGCTCTTTTCAGAGTTTGTACTACACTTTTACTTTATCAGTGAATCTCCCCCCTCCTCCTCCTCTTCCTCTTCATCCTCTTCCCCATCCCCCTTCTCCTCAGCCTCCTCCTCCTTCCTCATCTTACATACTGTAAAATAAATAATTTCAGCCTTCTTTTTTTATTACTCTTATCAATGACAATAAACCGATCTAATTAACATACCTCTCCCTTCTACCTTTCAGTGTCATACAACCCATTAGGCAGTGACAGGTACAGAAAATAACTGTGTCTTTTAGAAATTTAAATATTATGGCTAAGAATAAAAAAAAGATCGTGTTATTTAACATAATGAAATTCCTCTGAATGATTCTACATTACTTCCCAGTAAGGTACACAGGGGTGCCCAGAAATGAAGCCAAATAAAACATGGCAAGGGATTCACTAATATTCTAAGTCTGGTTTTATTTAAGCCATCTATTTTCTTTTTCGTTTTTTTTGAGACAGAGTCTCACTTCATCACCCAGGCGGGAGTGCAGTCGTGCAATCTTGGCTCACTGCAACCTTCGCCTACTGGGTTCAAGCGATTCTCATGCCTTAGCCTCCTGAGCAGCTGAGATTACAGGTGTGCACCACCATGCCCAGCTTTTTCTGATTTATTTTTATTTTTTAGTAGAGACTGGGTTTTGACATATTGGTCAGGCTGGTTTCAAACTCCTGATGTCAGGTGATCCACCCACCTCGGCCTCCCAAAGTGCTGGGATTACAGGCATGAGCCACCGTGCCTGGCCTAAGCAGTCTATTTTTATTTTTCAAAGGCTTTGTTATTAAGGCACTTAATCTAGAAATCTACCTGTAATTCCCTTCGCTGCCTCCCTTGGTTTATTGCAGGCCCGGAGCTTGGCCATTCATTTCTGCTTGGTTCAGAACGAAAGTGCTCAGTAATTAAGAAGGGACCTCCAGCAGCATTTTTTGGTAATTATGGGATGCTTGAGAGGCATGACCCAGCACACAAAGGACCCAGCCCAAGTGCCTTTCTCTTAAGAAATGTGATCTCTTAGAGATAATCCTATGACCTTTGGCCAGTGTTCATCTCTACGGCAGGCAACTGCGTTTTCTGTTTGAAAATGAGTGAGTGGGCCGGGCGCGGTGGCTCAAACCTGTAATCCCAGCACTTTGGGAGGCCGAGGCGGGTGGGTCACGAGGTCAAGAGATCGAGACCATCCTGGTCGACATGGTGAAACCCCGTTTCTACTAAAAAAAAAAATACAAAAAATTAGCTGGGCATGGTGGCACGTGCCTGTAATCCCAGCTACTCAGGAGGCTGAG